AGCGTCCTGTTTACCACCTCGGATTGCCCGTCAGTCTGAGGATGATAAGAGGAACTGAAACGTAATTTAGTACCTGACAATCTGAATAACTCCTTCCAAAAATGCTCATGAACACCCGATCTCTATCCGATACAATAGATCGTGGGAAACCATGTAAACGGACAATTTCTCTCACAAATAACTCTGCAATATCCTGAGCATGATAGGGGTGACTCAATGTTACAAAATGAGCATATTTTGTCATCCTATCCACCACTACCATAATGGTATCCACTCTCTGAGATTTGGGCAAACCCCCAATAAAGTCCATTGATACATCCTCCCATGCTTTTTCCGGCACTGGTAGTGGTTGCAATAAGCCCGCAGGCAACAGTCCTTCATATTTCTGCTGCTGGCAAGTGCCACACTGCCGTACAAAATCTGCCACTCTCTTACGTATGCCTTTCCAATAGAAGACAGCAGCAATGCGTTTGTAAGTGCGCAGTTCACCCGAGTGTCCCCCTAGAGGAGAAGAATGAAACTCAGATAATATTGCAGGAATTCGGGTTGAATTTTTGGGCAGCACCAGCCTATTCTTGAACCACAAACAACCTCTCAGCACATGGTAACCCATATGAGATTGAGGATTCTGCAAGACCTCGGTTATGATTTTTTTTGTGGCTAAATCATACAACACCTCATCTGCAATGTCATGCAGATCTGGGCTATTAACCAAGGTCAGTTCCTTGCAGGCCATTACCCTGGATAAGGCATCCGCAGCCTTATTTTCCAGTCCCGGCTTAAACTGTATTTCAAAGTCAAACCCCATCAACTTGGCAATCCATTTCTGCTAGCCCTCTGCTATCAATCACTGCTCAGTCAAGTACTTGAGACTACGTTGATCGGTCCTAATGATGAAATGACCTCCCAACAAATAATGCCGCCATTTGTGGACGGCAAACACTATAGCCTTCAACTCTCTCTCATACACAGACAGTTTCTTAGCTTGTTCAGAAAATGCCTGACTCAAAAATGCGATAGGACGCCCTTTTTGCATAAGGACAGCTCCCATGCCAATGCCCGACGCATCAGTTTCCACGACAAATGTCTCCTCAAAGTTGGGTAAAGCCAATGTAGGTAACTTCACCATTTCAGCCTTCCAACAACTCGAAAGCCTTTTGGGCCTCTTCCCCCCACAAAAAACAATCATTCCGCAACAATTGCGTGAGGGGCTTAGCTATATGACCATAGCTTTTCACAAATCTCCTGTAATACCCCGTAAGCCCCCAAAAACCCCTTAGCTCCTTTAAATTACGAGGCACATGCCACAATTGGACAACTTGTAATTTTTGCGGGTCTGTCTTGACTCCTTCCTTGGATACCACATGACCCAAATACTCCAACTCCTCTTGGCCGAAACTACACTTTTTGTAATTTGCAAACAATTTATGTTGCTTCAGTGTATCCAGCACTACCCGGAGATGACAAGCATGTTGCTGCTCATCCTGGCTATAGACCAATATATCATCAAAAAAGACCAAGATGAACTTACGCAAGTGAGGCTTAAAAATGGTATTCATCAACGATTGGAAGGTTGACGGGGCATTCTTTAACCCAAATGGCATTACGAGATACTCAGTTAAATCAAACTATTTTGACTTATCAGTTATCCTTATTAAATTATTTAAGTGGGAAGAGAACCATGGTAGACCCACGGAACCTTGCCAGTCTACCCTGTGACCCGGGAAACCCTTCCAGTCACAAACAAATCACATTGGCCATAATCAATTCACATCTTCCTAGTATGCACACCTCTTCCCAAAGTTGCTACTAATATCCCGGGAAACCCTGTCAGACACCACTTTGGGAAGAACGGATACAATCTTTTTCACATCGGACGCATAAAGCCCAAAAGTTATGTTCATCACCTTGGGAGGTACCGTCCCAAAGCTATCTTCTCACTATTAAATTATTACAATCACATACAACTAGGAAAAATTCAATATTGTCTAAATTACCATAATTGGAATATTTATTCTTTAAGTATTATCATTGTTGAGGGAGAGAATCATAATTTTTCAAATCTCTATAATTTTCCAACATCTATAAAAATTAAGGTCCAAACCATATCAATTATACATCATCATGATTTTCCAACATCTATCATATCGATTATCTCTCATCGTAGTTTTTCTAATTTATTTAAGAATATCATAACTCAAAATCCAACATCTATCACAGAAAGCCCAAATCCACTCATCATATCAATTATCATAATTTTCCAAGGTATCATAATTTTCACAATTATTCAATAGCATCTGTATCACACATAAGTGGCACATAATTAATCTTCCGAAAATACCATAATCATAATTTTCAAAAATTTGAATCATAATTCTTGGGGTTAAAACCCAATAAAATTTCTAATAAAATTCATATGTAATTACCCTACGATCAACTAAAGGTTAGGACTATATATAATAAATTTCATATACAACTAATATATTATTTCCTAAAGGTTAACAAAATATCTTATAAAATTAATTTATTAAACCTAAAGGATTAGGACAAACATACCAAATTTCACATAAAATATAATCTAAAAAAATACTTAGGGATTATGATTACATATAATAAATTTCAAACAAAATTATAACCTAAGAGCACCTAAAGATTAGGATTACATATACCAAAATTCATATCAATATAACCTATGACTCTCTAGGGATTAGGATTACCTGGTCTCCGTTTTCGCTAACTTCTAAAGGGAATAATTTGATGCAGAGAACCGGTTGCTAATCAGAAAAATATAAAAATTGAATATAATTAAAATAAACTTTTTGGAGTGAGAAGAGAGAAAGTAGTAGAGGAGAAATGTTGAAGAGTGAATTGGTTTAGTTAGGCTAGGCCACTATTTATAGTTGAAGTTTTGGGTTCGGATATGGGTTTCGTGCATTTATTTCTTTATTCTTCATTCATGTATCTGGCTCAGATTTTGGCTTTACACACTATTTTATTCTTAATTTCTTTATGACTCAGAATACAACTAACTTATTTGCTAACTCAAGGCTGACTCATGATTGACACATCATATCTAATCAAATTACCAATCAAACATTACTAATCAAACATTAATACATAAATCATCAATCAATTAATAAATCAATTAATCATAATTTATCATCTATATATATATATATATATATATATATATATATATATATATATATAGATAGATATATACAGATATATTAATTTTATTATTAATAACCTAGAGTATTACAAAGTATCAAAATTATTTTCCAATAGCACTCATATCGCACAAAACAATTTTATCAAAGGTAAAATTAACATTATACTTTGTTATCTATCACCATAAAATTTATATATATATATTATTACTACTAATTTATAGTTTATTATTATTATTATTATTATTATTTTATTAAAAAAATATGGGGTATTACAGATACCATGTAAAGAACCAATTCAACCCAAAAGCTTAAGCTGTTGGGTGAGGCTATATTAATGGTTTTATATATCTCAACAGACTACCCGTCTTGAAGAAGAAACCCAATTTGATGGGTACAAGGATCATCTGAAGCTTTGATACCATTTTGATGAAACTCAAACTACTCACAGCAAGAATAACAATTAATAGTAAAATAACACTTCTATTAACAACAATACAGGAGACATAAACCAAAAGAGGGCACAATGACACTACAATGACATTGTAATTGACCAACAGTCTACCTGTCTTGAAGAAGAAAATACTAGAAGATAACCTAGAACTCCAGCTACTAAGCAATGCTTGCAGCAAATTACCAGCAGCTGAGCACCATGCCTAAGAGCTACTATTCTCCCACTTAATCTGTTGAGATATATAGTCCCACATTGGTTGTATGTGCAACTAATGTGGAGTTTATAAGATCTTGGGCACTCCCACCCTTTGAGCTAGCTTTTGGGGTGGTATATCCCAAGGTTCTTTACATGGTATCAAAGCCTCGTCGCCCCCCACTTTCTCTTGTGGCGTTTCTTAGCACAGGTAGGCTGGGCCTGTTGCATTGTCCACGCTTCAAGCTCAAAGGGCTTTCGTGTGAGGGGGCGTGTTGAGATATATAGTCCCACATTGGTTGCATGTGCAACTAATGTGGAGTTTATAAGATCTTGGGCACTCCCACTCTTTGAGCTAGCTTTTGGGGTGATGTATCCCAAGGTTCTTTACATAATCAATACTCAATACCCCCTATCACACTACACACACTCCTTTTATTCTAACTTAGAATATTCTAGAGCTTTCCTTATTAACTAATTATTTCCATTACAGGCCCATGGACCCATCACTCTACACTATCCTTTTACTGTAATTTTCCCTTTCAGCATTACAGTTTCACAAGTAATTGTAGGCTCTTTAATCACTGTAATTCTGTTTTATTTCCCTTTCCTGAACCATACCTTGTAATTTTCTGTCATTGAAATACAAGATTCTAGCATTTATTTCGCAATTTCTGTGTTATTGTGAGTTGACATGTTTGGACTAGGAAGGGTTCTATCAGGAAACTTCACACAAAAATCAACGCAGTTAAAAAAAAAAATGCTCTTCAATGGGTCACTGCAAGAAGATAAGCAATGACGCCTAGTTAGCTACAATTTTTTGAGACACGATAAAATGCAGTCTGTAACCAAGAGACCAATCTTTGGAGTTGCAATATAATGGAATGGAAATACTCAATTTGAGACAAGATAAGCTAGAAAGCTTAAAACTATAAACACTGTAATTTGAGCTTCCACCTCCTCCACTTTTGGGACAGTTCATAAATGGTAAACCCAACCAACTTTCTCCAGTTCAACCAGGATATTATGCAATGTTGAAAGGGAGGGTTGGCTGAATATGAGAAAATGAATTAATGAGCCTGACATGCCCATCAAATGAAAGACTTCAAAAAAGCTGGAAAACAAACAAAAAATTTCACTCAAAAGGGATTGAAACAATGTCAATGGAAGTAATCTGGACTTACATGCAGGAATATGTGAACCATTAGTGTTAGGTAGCGATGCAACTGCAGTTGGGTTTAGCTGACTTAGCTCAGCATGTTCCTTCAGCAACCTGTTGAACTCTGTTATTTGCTCCTTCAACATCAACCTTAAATAATAAGCCTTGAAGAATTCTTGATTTTCTTCTTCAAGTTTCTGCCAAACTGAAACAGATAAAACTAAATCATGGCTGACAAAGTGACTATTAACTTTTGACTAAAATACCTAATTCGCAGCACTAAGGAGAAATTTAAACAGCAGCTAAAGATCAAAACCAAATCTAACGCCAATGACAAAAAACACTCTGCTAGGTGAACATTGGAAACCTAGTTATATGAAAGTTCAGTGCCCATGCATGAAATTTCTAATTTCAGAGCAGCTAACAATTATGACGTGTAGTTACAAATTGAAAAGCACCCAAATTTCTTCTTATTTTATAATAAGTTACTTATCCTTCATATAAGGGAACTGTACTTATTAAGCCATGGTATCTACAAACTAATAATGGCAAGCGCAAATAAGCTGAAAACTTAAAAGACAAGAACAAGAATGTGAGAACACGTAAATATGAATCAAAATTTACAGGGAGGAAGTTAAGGAAAGTTTCTATGCCAAGCATGCATTTTCAGAACTGTTTAATTTCAGAGAGAAAACTTGTCCGTATGTTTTGGTTACATGACAAGAGGGCAAGCCTGCAGGTAAAGCTGCTCCTTATAACTGAAAGGTCGCATGTTTGGATCTCATAAAAGCATATATACAAATACAAAATAGTAAGGTTGTGTACAAGGATTGTCCTCGCCTTACTCTCGCTAGTCAGTGTTTAATGGGAAGTGATTTTTGGTTTTGATTACATGATGGGGTTGTGATTATATTACAAGAGATACAATGAGCTATTGGAAAACCTAGATTTTGATTTTGACACTACCTTAGTACCTTTACACTTTCCTATTTACACAATATTTTACACTATTAGAACACAGTATTGCACTATTTTCAACACTTCCCCTAAAGCTTACTAAGCTTTAAAGCAAGCTAGTTACAAATATGACCCCTTTGAAAATGAAAATTAACCAAATATCATAATATGGGCTCCATGAAACATGGCTAGAAAGGAAAATCTAGAGACATCAGATAGATCAACATTACAAGAAAGGCAATTCAGCAAAATGTTGTGATGATCAATCAGCTCTTTTTGCCGGATTATTGCTGATGTAATCATACAAAGCTAATTTTTCAGGAATTTTAGACCAAGCTTCTGATAAACTTTGATTTTTGGTTAGCTCATCGCCAACTCTCTGATATTTTTCTTGCCAGAAATATCCCTGATCCCATTGATAACTAGTGGGACCAAATAATTCAATCGGGATAGTTGTTGAACCATACCACATTTCCAACAACAAAAGTTGCGAAAAAGACACCTAAAAAGCTGATTGAAATTATGCATCCCAAGTAAGAGAATTCGCGGGAATGACCATCCACAATATGTCCTAGCAAACAATTATACACAAGCTAAACTTCTCCAAGTTCATCAAAAACAACATTTATAAGCTCCAAACCACGAGAAAACTTAGTCAAAAACAACATTTATAAGCTGTAAACCACTAGAAAACTTAGGAGACCTATAAAGGAAAATTGAAATTGAGGTTGGTGTGCATCACGATCAGAATTGCTTGCTTGACTCATAAGTGCGATAGTAGAAATCACCATTGTTACGATTCATAATAGGAGGCTACGAAAAATCACAACAAATTCATTCATCACTCTACGAGGGCAAAGTAGATAGGGCCGACCGCATCTAGCGCAGAAGTTGAAGCCAAAATGTATATCTTGGACATAGATTGAGGCTAGACTGCATATCTAGGACAAAGACTAACAGGACCAGGAAGATGCCCCTCCATGTTATGTTAGAATTGGAAAGGAAACAAATGAATGTATAAATCCAAAAAGAAGACATTAACCCTATTATGTTTCCAAACAATTGCCTAATGTGAAACATTGAAAAAAGAACAAGAATTTCATCTATCCTTGCCTCTCTTCTCGTATGCATCTGATGCTAGCTTTCTACGAAGCTGCATCTTTCTTTGGGGATGGCTTGGAAATAAAGGCTTTCATCCCCAAAGACGTCCTCGACAACGTCCTTCCAGCCTTTGCAGGTATCCTTCGACTTCAGCATTGGTTTTGCAGCTTCCTTAAGCTTTTCAGCCAATGTTGTTACAATGTAGTGTCTACGTAGAAACGGTAGGGGTGAGCAGAAACGATTAACATAAACGAAACGTAAGAGTTTACTACATACCAAAAAAATATATATCCAACATATACAAAACCAAAACACACCAATACATTAAAGTCATCACAAATTTAAGTCCAAACACTAAAGGAAATAAAAATTAAGTTCAATCTTAGTAATCATAATACATATTAAAATCAAAACACCAAGGTAATAAAATTGTAAAAGAGATCAACATCTCTAATTTAAATCATTGGAGTCAAAGTCAATATCATCTTCTTCATCCCTTCCCCCACTAATAAATTCACCAATAAAATTGGGAATTTCCAAATCATTCAAGTTAGCCATCACAAAAACATTATTCATTGTCTCCAGCTTCAAATCATAGTAGTTAAATGCGGATTGCGGGCTGTTGCAGCAACTCCCGGAACACGCTATAGCGCTATAGCGGGTTGCGGTTGCGGAAATAGCGAAATAAGATAAGCTAGATATACCACACATATATGTTAAAAATAAAGATATTAAGAATAATTCATCAATACAAATAACATAACAAATTATCAAGAATTAAAGAAAAAAAACCATAATAAAAAATAAAATAAAAGGAAATTAGATATAAAAACCATAATAAAAAATAAAATAAAAGGAAATTAGATATCAAAGACAGAATAAAACAGAGTTACAAAAATCTTAATAAAAAAAAAACCATCAAAAAAATAATTTAAAGGTTATTTGTGGTTTTTTTTTTTTTAAAAAAAGAGAGTTTAAAACCAAAATAAATACTTACAAACCAAAAACGAGAAAGGAGAGAGTTAAAATACGTTTTGCACTCTCACCAAAAAAAAAAAAAATACGTTTTGCATGAGCAGAGTTTTGTGAAAAAAAAATACACAGGTCAGCTTACAAGAAAAAAGAGAGAGAGAGAAAAGAGTTTAAAAAAAGAAGAGTACAAAGTAGAAAAGAAAAAGAAGAAAACGGAAAGAACTCAAAATAGAGAAAGTCGTCGCCGGTCACCATTCACCGTTTGCCGGAAGTGGAACAGCTGGCCGCTATTGTTCGCTGCTGGTGCAGCTGGTCGCTATTGTTTGCTGCTGTTCGCTGCTGTCTAGTGTTTTTTTTTTTTCATTGTTTGATGTATAAGAGAGAGAGAGAGTGCAGAGTAAGTTAAAAATAAGGGCTAAAAGACAATTTAACCTTTATAAAAAAGACTGGAGGGTCATTATACAAAGGGCAAAAAAACGAAATTTGATTTTTTTTTTTGTAGCGACGCAATTGCACCGCAATTGACCGCAATTTTCCCTCAAAAGCAGACGCTACAGCCGCTTCCATAAACCATTGTGTCGCATGGTGGGTTGTAGCGGATGGTCTCCGCGATCCGCAACAGAAACGCGATTGCGCGCAATAGCACCGCTATTAACTAATGCGCTTCAAATGATTTCTTTTCATTGTGGGGACCTAAATAAATACAAGAAAATAATTTAATACTAGACTAATATCATATTTTTGAAATGAAATGCAATTCATATTACAATTAGATCATCTCAAAAGCACTCCAATTCCGCTTACATCCAAAGGAACTACATGTCAAGCTAAGCACACGAATAGCTAATTTTTGGGGCTCTGGAACTACATCTCAAAAGCACTCTTGGTTTCAACTCCATCCATAGCAAAGGTAGTCCTAAAAAGACCTCTACAATGCTTGAATTCCTCAAGTTGCTCATCAATCTTTTTTTCTACAGTTGTATCCGCCACCATCCTTTTTATACAATCATGTCGTCCAACCTTCATAATCAACTTCAAATGTAGGAGAATAATGTTGTTTTGGGTTAAGGTAATAGCCAGCAACATACAAAGGCCTATGGAGTTGCCTCTCCCATCATGCATCAATGACATCCCAAATAGGTTGATAACTAAAAAAATGAAAAGATAACAATTGAATTAATTTTGAGTTTAAAATGTCTAAAACTTTGAATTAAACAAATTAATTGATAACTTACAATGTAGGTTTTTTTTTTAAATCCTCTTCAATTTTCTTCTTGGCACGATCCATTGCCTTATAAATGGAGCCCATGGCTGCATCATCTAAATCAACCAACTGAAACATTGAAATAAAAGGAAGTGCTCCTATCAAACAAATCTCAACCCTTTTCCAAAAGTGTTTGTCCATCACTACATTTTCAATGAGCTGTCCATCCGTTGACTTTGTATATTTTCTATTCTTGACCAACCTCCTCTTCCACTTCATCAATCATCTTAAAAAATCTTGTCAGCTGTTTTGGTGGTGTGAGATGCATCAATGGACTTAAAAAAAACACAATTCCCGTAGAAGCTATGCACACAAAAATTGATTATTGTTCTTCTTTTATCAGTTTATCCATCAATCATTATTGTGCATCTAGTTTTCTTCCATAGAGCCTTATGTGTTTCAACAACCGCCATTTTCATATCATATTTTTGCTTCAAATATTTTACTCTACACTCATGATAAGATGGTGGCTTGAAACCCGGTCCATGCTTAGCAATTGATTACACATCTTTTTGAAATCATCGCTATTCAGAAATATTGAAAGGAATTCCATTGTTATACATAGCAGTACAAATGTTAAGACATGCCTCCTCCCTCAAGTTCTTCTTCAATATGGTGTTGAGGGATACAGGAGTAGATGTTCTACTTTTCTTGAAAATATTAGAGCCACCACTAACAGCTTTTTCTTCTACTTCTTGTGCATTGTGCTCCAAATTTTTTTTTCAATGGTTTTCCTTGTTGTGCTCTAGTAGGAAGATTCAACATCTCTATTTTTACTTCATCTAGTACCGATATACATGGTTCAACAACTTTAGATGTTCCTGCCAAATGGTGCTTCACACGAAAAACTCCAGCAAACATTACTTTGGGAGAGTACTTGCATTTAAGTTTTTTTATTCCCGGAACTTCAA